CAACTTGAAGATGTGTGGACTTCAACTCCCAGAACTCCCCAGCCAGCCATGGCTGGCTAGGGAATTCTGGGAGTTGAAGTCCACACATCTTCAAGTTGCCAAGGTTGAGAAACACTGTGTTGGAGGGTTTAGACAACATACTCCACTTAGCAACAGCAGTCCCTTTAAAGATGCAAAACAGTTTCTGATAGCAAAGGATGTTTTGATTAATTGTCTCACAGCTAAAAAAAGAGTTGATTGCATTTTGCGAATGAGACAAAATTATGGTTGAGGCTTGATTTGTGATGCCACAGAACAGCGGAGATATGCAAGAGCAGGAGTTCTGCTCGTTCCTCCTGTGCTTGCAACCTTTGCCTAGGCCTTGCTAGCTTGTTGGAATTCTTAGGGCTAGGTAGGCTACAGTCCTAGGCGTGCATAGCTGGCCTTATCTCTGAGTAAGTAAAGTTGCACATTATCATTACTTGTTTTTCCCTTCCTCTGGGAAACCCTTGGACCTCCAGGAGGAAAGCTTTCAACTTCAGGCAAGGATTTTCTTGCAGTTTGGTCTGGGGCCTTGTAAGCAAACTGGCTTCTCTGTCCCAAAGAATTTACTGCTTTCTTTCTACCTAGTGTCACTCTCCTTCGCACCTGTACGTGCCCTGCGTGCGCTGTGGTTAGCCATCAGAAATCAGGGAGTGGGGCGAGGGAGTCCTGGCAGGCCCAAGTATTTGTGCTCCTGTAATATTCAAGGTAGAGGGTGCAGCAGAGGCATGTGTGCTGCCAAATTTGTTTCATAAAAGATGTCATTGTGATTAAAAAGGAGTTTGTTTATTCTAGATGTTGGCTCCCACAGTGAAAGGGAGCTAAGGACACTAAAGGACATTCCTTTCAGTGAGCCTGGACATCTACCTGCTGGGAACGTGCTCCGTGTTTCATCTGTGGATAGTTGTAAACTGCCCCACCCACCCGTAGGACAGCCGTCACAGCTCTTCAAAGCAGGTGAGCATGCTTTGGCCTCTCCTCTGAGTGAAGTACTGATCAACCTTCTTTAGAGGAGAAGGTGGCCTTATCAGGGTTGTGGTGGCTTAGTGTCTTCTGACTTTAGTCCAAGGTTCCTGATGGCAAGATTTTTGTGGGCGGGGATCTTTCCCTGTGCCTGATGTAGTACTAAGGGGGGAAAAGGCCTGTTATGCTCAGAAAAGGGAGAGCTCGCTGGTCAGCGGTTCCTGTTGAGGCCAGGAGGGCCAAGTCACAAAGAGGGTGGAATGTCTGGTGTTGGGAAGTTCTCAGTTCTCCCGGGGAGGAAGGGATTGGAAGGTTGGTCAGCACTTCGCTCAGAGGAGAGGCCAAAGCATGCTTGCTTGTTAGAAGAGCGGTGATGGCTGTCCTACAGGTGGGTGGGGGCAGTTTACGACTGTCCTAACACACAATTGAAACAGCAGGGAGACAACAGGTACTCTGCAGCTTGTGCTGTTTGTACTGCTGGGATGAACTGATTCTGGCATCGGTTCTCTGGGCACGAGGGCAGTGTTTCTGGGCCTGGCTACAGAAGCACCCGTTGGGTGCTAAGGTGTTCTGTGGGATCCTGGAGGCTTCACCTTTTCGTGGCAGGCAAATTCTCAACTCTCTGATGTTCAGAGCTGGCAAAAGGGGACATGGGAAGTGAGTCTGAATGGAGACACTGATTACAAACTGAAATCCCTCCATGAACTGAAATTCTCCTCCTCTCAGCCGAAAATTGCTTCTGGAACAGAGAATCCTCTTCCGTATCCGCCTGGAAACCCTGCATGGTGCTGAAAAGAGGAGCGGGCCCTTTGCCTATCTCTAGCAACCCCAGGAGTAATTTGAGTAATTTTTCTCAACTTCTTTCTTTCCCAGTTACATTTCTGCCCCACCTTTCCTCCAGGATTTCAAGCTAGCATGCTCCTCCAACTTTTCTTCCACCACACCAACCCTGTGAGGTAGGCTGGCGCAAAGTCCCCCAGGGAGCTCCCATGGCTGAGGCTGGATGTGAATCCAGGTCTCCCCAGGCCAACACTTTCAGTGCTCCTTGGTCAACCCCTGGCCCAGGCTGAGCCAGGGCTTCTTTACTCACTCACCACTAGATGGGATTCTGGATTCCTCTTTTATAACAATAGGACTCATGGCTTCCCGTAACATGCAGATAAAATTAATCTAGGGGTCTCTCCCAGTTTTCTACTCTTTCTCTTTCAAGGATCACATCACAAACCTTTGGTTGCCTTCCAGGAGGGTAAAGTGCCAACTAGGCCTGCCCATCCCACTCTCAGGTGGAGCAGGGGCCCTCTCCTGCTGCCATTCCATGGAGCATGTGGGGAAGGGGAGCCTAATCTGGGCCCTCCCCTTCTCAGGCAGCCTCCTTTCTGCCAGCTGGGAAAGCAGGGGTTGCTTCTCTCATCCCCCTCCAGAGCCCAGTGAGTCAGGGCAGGGCTCGTTCAACCCTTGGATGGGGGGCAGGAGGACACATTGGCTTTGCACAGCATGCAAGGCAAGGGTGAAATGGGCCTGGGTGGTTTGTGGGGACCACAAAGCCATGTATGCGTCACATATTTGGGGTAGTTCATGCTATGACATGTCAATGTGTGTGACGACATTGTGGACAGTCTTGTGGAGAGTAGGGCACTCCATTAAGCCATACTGTGGCTATTCTGGGCATATAGTACCTTGTTATGTGAATACAGGTAGTCCTCAGTTTAAGAACGAGTTCCGTTCCCAAGGTCTGTCCTTAAGCTGAATTTGTATGTAAGCTGGAACAGTGTTACTGTATAATACTGTATAAGTAGCGTTGTGTAATGAACTTGAACCATTTTGTATTTAGCTCAAATCGCTGTATATTTAACTTGAATTTTCCTACAGTAGGCTCTGTTCTTAACTATGGGGCGTCCTTAGCCTGGGGACTGCCTGTGTAACCCTTGTGGTTTGTAGCACTTCTCCTGTTTCTGAATCCTGGTGAATCCGTGGAGGTTTCAAGAGCGCCTTTGCTAAGAGAGCAGGGTGTCCTCCCTCTGGTCAGAGGCTTCCTTTGGGTGCAGCTGCTCTGTCTTGTTTTCTGTAGGTTGACCTGTCACAGCTGGATCCAGATGAGAGATGGAGGTGAGTGAAAGGCCGGCTGGCTACCTTGAGGACATCTGCTTTGGTGGCCAAGGGCCATCCACGGGGAGGCGGGGGGCAAGTGACATCATTGTGCAAGGCCCGCCTCCAGCAGGCTGCTGACTTACCAGGCTGAGATAGGTGGCCTTGTTTTTGCACGCCCTGTGCTGGGGCTGCAAGACTCAGCCTGTTGACTCTCAGGGGCGGGCAGGGTTTCCTTCCACCTCCTGCTTCTGGGGGATAAGGAAGACTGGCCAGTGTAGTTCTGCTTCCCAGTATATCCTCCTGCTTTGTTCTCTCAACTGGCTGTGCTGAGAAGCAGGAGATGTGACAGCCAGAATCGCTGGAGTCAGTTGCCTGTGGGGAAGCAATCATAATGAACTGGCTTTTCTTGGCTAGGTTTTTATTCATTTAAAACTATACCCTCTTCCCATTACTGAGAGGTAATGTGCCAAGCCCGAAAAGGACCATACATTCCAGCTTTCTATTTCCCCAAATGCCAAGGTTTTGTCTCCAGGAAGTCTGCAACCTAACCCTCCCAATTTAAAAACCATGGTGATGCAGAGGAACCCACCTTGATCTGATAAAGACCATCTCCTATTTATCTTCATCCCATTCAACTATACTGCATTGAAGTAAAGGCTGAGATTTAGAGCTCCATAAAACACCCTAGGGCTTACTCCTGCATAAACATGTTTATGAGTGCGATCACTAGAGCAAAGAAAAGATGCAGAAAAGAAGGTGGGAGCCATGCAGTGCCATCTCATCCCCTTCCTGCCCCCTCTGGACCCTGCACCCTAGCTCTCTGGTCATTTGTCCCTTCCCCAAAGGGGAGAAGGCAAAATCATTAACAGATTAAGGTTTAGAGGCCTAGAGAAGTGCAGAGAAGAAGGGAGAACATGCTTTGGGGTCCTGAGTGGAAACGGCGGGAGGTCACCAAAGCTTAGATCCAAAACAGCTTAGAAACCAGCTACCCTGCTTTTCCATCATCCGATGCCCACAGTGCCCAAATCAGTAAGAAAAGTGGCCCTGAAAACATGCTGGCAAGTGTACCCTCTTGCCTGATTCCAACTGTACCTTTGCAGTCCTGAGATATACAAACGGTGTTGTGTCTTCGTAGACCTGTGTGTGTGCTACACAGCGTGACTGGAACCATTTCCAGCTGCTTGGGAAATTAGAAGGCCTCCAGACACATTTGTGTGTGAGGCTCACCTGCCCTGCTCTCATTTCAGGATCGAGCATGCCCGGATGCACGCCAAACACCGGGGCCACGAGGCCATGCACGCCGAAATGGTACTCATCTTGATCGCCACGTTGGTCGTCGCCCAGCTCCTCCTGGTACAGTGGAAACAGAGGCACCCTCGGTCCTACAACGTAAGGCAGCTGCTTCAGGGGTGATACCACATCACTCGGGGCTACCATGGTGGGCAGCCACTCCAGTGTTTAACTTAGAGGGTGGGGTCTGCCCACGTTGCAGCCAGAATCCTTCCCCAGCAGCAGCTCTGAGTGTATCAGGGGCTGTGATTCTACCCGGCACGTGGAGTTGGCTGAGAGAGGTGGGCTTCAGTGTTCCCCATCTGAGGCTGGCCAGCCTTCTCTGGGAAGAGCCCCCAGGAATAGGTTAGACCAGTGTCTCTCAACCTTGGCAGCTTGAAGATGTGTGGACTTCAACTCCCAGAGTTCCCCAGCCATAATTTCCCAGCATCAGGGTCTTTTCCAAAGAGTCCTCTCTTCGCATTAGGTGACCAAAGTATCT